CTGAAAAGGCGGCTCGAATACAAAAATTGGGCAGCTGAGGCGATCGCACAAATTCCTTGATAAGGCATCGCACAATCCGAGCATGACCATGAAAGTTGGTAGTCGGAGAACACTTCCAGTAGAGGAGCATACAAGGTACCCCATCAAACCTTTGAGCATCAAATAAACAAAAAATGCCAAACCTTTGACCAAACATAATAACCTGAGACTTTTTATCCTTTCCTTACTTAACCATTTCCCAAAAATAGCTATGATCTTGGAACGTGTCAAATAGCTATAATTTATTGAAGGATTAACATTGTAATTAATTCTTTGATATCCAATGAACTCTAGTTTTATGATTCGTCTCAATTGTAAAACCGTGAAATGGGCAATATTTTCAAAACTTCTGATTAAATTTTTTTCAAAACTCTTTTAATTGATATTTTTAGAACTTTGAAAATAAAAGAGAAACATTTTTTCAAACAAGACAATCTCTCTAGAGTGGATCTTGGTAAATGACATGTGGCTCTCAAACAGTAATCTCATGCTTAGAATTAATGTTGAAGCAAGAAATGAGGAACAATAGGGGCACTTTTAATGTTGGGGCATTTTTGGAGATTCAACATTTAATATTGGGGCATCTCCGGGGATTCAAAATCCTGATGCGAACGATCAGATCTTCCGAAGGCTTTTCCTCCACATGTTGGAACCAGCATGCAAAAAATGAGATTCTGTCCAAGGAATAAAACAAGAACTCATTCATTATGCATACATTTTAGAGCATCATATTTATCATTTTTTCACATACATAAGTTTTGCAGTTTTAGAGTCAAGTTTCAACTTCAAGGAGAAAGATACTTGATTCAAAAGAGTTTGTAAAAATCGATGGTGGTTGCTTAACTCAGCAGCAAGAAGTCACACTTCAACCAACTCGACATATTGAAAGATCGACATTCATCTTCAGATTCAATATTTCCAATATAAATTTTGTCTCGCTTGAGACAATCTCATTTAATGCAGATGATTATCTCACTTGAGATTGCTTTTCTTAAAACAGACTTTGTCTCACTTGAGACTGTTTCACTCGAAAGAAGGCATTTAATTTCACTCAAGACTGTTTTTAAAAAGAAGATTTTATCTCGCTTGAGATAATTTCCCTTGAAACAAAATATTTTCTCCCTTGAGACAGTTTCTCTTGAAACATAAACATTAAAAACATTTTCCTTGAAACAAATTATTTGAATATGTTTTATTTGAAACAAATTTCATCTCCCTTGAGACAGTTTCTTTTGGAACTAAGTTTTGTCTCTCTTGAGACAGTTTCTCTTGAAACAAATTTCGTCTCTCTTGAGACAGTTTCCCTTGAAACAAAATCTTTGAATTTATTTCCCCTAAAACAAATTTTGTCTCCCTTGAGACAGTTTCTCTTGAAACACAAAATCTTCAAATTTATTTCCCTTAAAACAAAATTTTGTTTCCCTTGAGACCATTTTCATGAAACAGCAGATATCTTTAAGATCGTTTCCCTTGAAACGAATTCTATCTCTTTCGAGACAACTTCTCTTGAAGCATCATCTGAACCGTTACACTCAGCTCAGACGCATACTTAAGATGGTCGAGAAGCATTTCTCAAATCAAAAATAGAATGTACACATCGGATTTGAACATTTGAAGAATTCAAGATCAGGGATCAGAACTTGAAGATTCAAGAATCAAGATTACAGACAGGCAACCGGAGATCGAGATTTCTCTCCAGAGCCCCAAGATAACATATGTTGCATATGCATTTTAGGCACACCTAAGAGCATTGCATCCATAGCATCACATATATGCATAACTTTTTCAGGTTTTAGCTAGAGTCAATTTCAACTTCGCGACGAAGGATATTGAACTCAAAGCGACACAATTTGCTCGAGAGTAGATTTCAACTTCACGACGGAGAATATCTAACTCGAAGCCAAACTTCACAATAAAGGGGTCATCCACGGTTTCAACTTCACGACGAAGGGAATCGTGTCCACCCGCAACATACAATACTTGGATTTCAACTTCACGACGAAGGATATTCAAGTTAAGGCTTAACTTCACGATGAAGGGGCCATCCGCGATTTCAACTCCACGTCGGAGGATATCGTACCCGCACATCCACGATTTTAACTCCACGATGGAGGATATCATGTCATTTGAGGCTCAACTTCACGACGAAGGGGCTTCCCAGTTTCAGAGCCAATTTCAACTTCACAGCAAGGGATATTGGACTCAAGACAACACAAGCTTAACTTCACAACGAAGGGGCGGCTGATTGTCAACAAACAACTTTTCAGTTTCATTCAGAGTCAATTTCAACTTCACAACGAAGAATATTGAACTCGAGACAACACAAGCTCAACTTCACAGCGAAGAGGCGGCTGGCTATCAACAAACAATTTCCCAGTTTCAGAGCCAATTTCAACTTCACGACGGAGGATATTGGACTCGGAACAATACTACCCACTTGGATTTCAACTTCACGATGAAGGATATCCAATTATCAGGCTCAACTTCACGACGAATGGGCCACCCGCGGTTTCAACTTCACGACGAAGGGGAATAGTGCACACAAGCAACATCCATCTCTAGATTGGATTTCAACTTCATGACGAAGGATATCTAACTCAAAGAATGGTTATCTATCACCAAAGACCTTCGAGTTCGATTACATTCAACTCAGAGGTAAATCAAATTTACAATATAGCTTAAGGCAAGAAGAGCTATCTGTCAACGAAAATTGTCGAGTTTGATTCCATTCAGCTCGATGACACCTCAATCACACTATTGTTCGGCTACAATCGAGGTTTTCAAGCCTAGAAGAAGATCTGGGTTAACCGTGCCTTAGTAGCAAAAAGCCTTTTTTCCGTCAGCATAGCTTAAATCGAGAAAAACTATCTGTTAACGAAGACTTTTCGAGTTCGATTTCATTCAGCTCGAGAGGATAGCAACCACATTGTGGAGTCAAGTGATTACTTTCCAGTCGAATTTTTAGCCAAGGTCTTTAAACCGAGAAGAAGACCAAAGTGGACTACAACGAGAAGCCACATTCTGATTCAAATCATTTCAAGATGGACTCGACTTCACGACGGAGGAGCCATCCGCAACTCAATTCGACAGGGAGTTATTCTTTAACTCCACTGAATGAAAATTTGTATTTTTTTTTATCTTTGTCATATTTTTCGTTCCACGAAAAAGGAGCTGTAGATACCCATTTTCTTAAAAGATAGAACTAGCAAAAGTTCATCTCCTAAGATGACTCTTCCACCACCATATCGTTTAAAGCAACAACCACACCAACAAACGTGCAACAACCGAGCAAGGAGTCTAGTTGCATTAGGATTCTATTATTAATAGAATTCTAAAAATAGTTAGTTTTTTTCACTATAAATATATGTAATCATCCCCATTTGTAACACACGATTTACATACAAGATACAGAGGAAAACACGAAAAAAATACAAAGATAAAGCTATTGTAAACGATTTGAAAAGGAAATAAAAGGTAGCATATTTTTTTTACATTGATTCGTTCATTTCTCGCATGTGCATGTTATTTTTCTTGAGATTTGGTTTGAATAATCCAAAGTGTGGGTTGTGTCGATGACCAAAAAGGGGTGGGATTTCGAAGTTTCGACCCTAGATTTACTCCCGAGTCATGTTCATTTTTTTAAAGTATTTAATATTCCTCCTAAGTTAATCTTAATCTTTAATTTACCTTGAAATTTACCCTTTAATTTTACTTTTATATTAATTTCGTCCCTTATATATATATATTTAATTATATTTTTATTTATTTATTTACTATATTCCTTTTTTTATTTATATTATATTATTATTTTTATATATATCTTATATCATTATATATATATATATGTATGTATGTATGTATATATGTATGTATAGATGTATTAATTTTTCTCCATTTACTACGTATATATATTTTTTCTTAATATTATATTTTATACGTTTTTATATATATATTTTCTTAATATTCTATTTTTGTTTTTATTTATTTATATATATTATATTTTTACTTTATTTTATTTTTTTCTATTATTTTTTTTCTTAATATCATGTATATCTTCATTTTTTATTTGTTTTACTTAGTATTATATATTTATTATTTTTATTTGTTTTAATAAATACTACTTTATATGTACACATTATTTTTATTTCATTTTTCATTTCTTTTACCTTTTTAATTATTTTTACTCAATTAATATTTTTTCTTTATCTATGTCTTTGGTTTTTTTAACATTTTATTCATTTTGTTTATTTTTATTATTTTTTCTATTATTTTTTACGTATTTTGTTATTTTTCATTTTTTCTTGTTTTATTTATTATTCTCATGTTTGCACACTTGATATCCTAATTCGATTTTATACTCCGCTACGAGTCAAACGTTTTTATCTTTTAAGGGTATTCAAATTAATCAATTGTAAGTAATTTGAATCGGGTCTGTTAAATTTTAATTTAAATTTCGAATTTTCGCAACTAAGACAACCGGCAAATTAATTGGTACCGAAAGGACGGTTCAAGGGTACTAATCCTTCCTTGACCGTAACCGACTCCCGAACCCGACACATTTCTGGTAAAAACGCAGATCAGGTAATATGGTATCCGACCCACCTAAATTCGTTTTAAAATAGTCGACGACGACTCCAATCCACATTTTTCAACTCGAAGCCCAATTCCGAAACCCAACCGAAAGACGGTTACAACACTATTTTTTTTGAGTAAAAAACATTTCCAAAGAATTACTACTTATTATAAATAAAATTCCTTTTCGAACAAAATATAAACATAATTAATACTTAAAATTCAAGCCAATAGGCTTGACAGTACATCTGGGCCAGCCTTATCTTCTGTCTTTTTGGAAGAACATAAAACATAGCTAAGCTTCAGTGTCTTATTACAATTTAAAACGATGCAACGAAAAATGATAAACATAGCTTACATATTTTTCCATCCAACAACACAAGACTGACTAATCAAGCAATGCAAGTAAAACAAAGCTAGTTGAAAGACACAACACAGAAATTTACATCGAAATTGGACAACAGCCTTTGTGAATATATCGATCACCACGACAAAAAACAAAGACCAGAGTCTAAAGACTTCAATTACACTGCATATCCTTGCATTGCGAAGAAAACATCGAGCATCGGCAAACGAAATGTGAAATGGTTGTAATGCAGAGGTGGGGTTCGATCGCTGGTGAGGTAGGTTAGTGCATGTGTCCAATGAAGAAATATCAGTTTGTTTTCTTAAGGAGGGTTGATGTGCTCAACTCTGCATCATCCTGGACAAAGCTCCAGCAAATGTAAGTAAGAGGGATACTGATAGCGTGCCATAGAGCCTTCGAATCAACAAACCCCTTGTACGGTGGAAAGTCGTATATTCCCAGGAACACGAGAAGGATTCCCCCTGCAACAAACAGCCAAACCTTCCAGCGTGATGGATGGCAAGTTACACCAGCCCACACTCCCCATATGAGAAGTTGGGCTACACCCATGGCCATACAAACTTTCATATTTAATCCTGCAAACAAAATCCGGTTTATGACTAGGGTGCAACAAGAACCTGGCAGGAGTTAATAATCGCACAGTACCGGTCATAACGAAAATAGTTATGATAAAAATGAAAAAAGAGTTTGTGTAAGATTCTTTTATGATGTAAGAATAGCTCAGCTTAATAGATGAGTGAAAACATGGTAGAAACGAAATTCTGATGTATTAAAACTAGCTACTTTGGAGTAAAAATTGAACAGAATCTGAGCTTTGGCAACCAATTTTATTATTCAGGAAGTTGGAACTATAATGTGGTGCAGGTAAATAAAATTGCAGAAAAAGCTGTATGCATAAGGCCAAATCTAGAGGCAAACTGTGATGAATGCTGAGAATCATGTTTTGCGAGGGTAACAAAGAAAGCATTACCATAATCAAGTTTGTAGAAGTTCAGATACAAGATGTGTGTTGTCACAAATGCAATCAGTGGAGCAGCAACAATTACTCTTGAAGCTTCATCTCTCAAATTAAATGCTCGTAGAATTGCTAGAATAAGACTATATCCAACTAATGCAACAGCAGATGAATAATCTAGCTTCTCGGTCAACTCAACAGCTCTACAAGTATTTAGGTTAGATATCTCCACACACAAAAAAAAAAATAATCAATTACATTATACAATGATTATAAGAACACTAAGCTCAAAACATGCCTTCCAATTATACATTTCATTTTTCTTTTCAGAAAATATTTCTTATTTTAATCACTTAAAATTATGTCCAACTTTTTGCTCCTTTAAGAACATTGTTATTAGATGCTCAAAATTACTTCCTGGAGACATAAAAGAGGCTTCTATGAATAAGAACTTGATCCAGGCTCCTAATAGATCAGGTACAATTAGAGGATGCTTAAAGATTACGGGTCCAAACGAACATACAGAGGATCACTTACCGACTGTGAAAAATGGTACTCCAGAACCAGAAGTTCATTGCCAATACGGCGTAGATATGCCACAAGCCAGTATATTCATAATAAGTCCTTTTATCAGGTCTCAAAGGCAACTTGTAATTCAGAAGGATAAAAAACGAGAGCCAACCATGAAACTGCACAGCAAGGCTTAGTGCAGAGAAAGCAACAGCAACAGGTTCCTAAAATCACCAAAACAAAACATCATCACTAACAAGAACAACAATCTAAAAAGGCAAACAACATAACAATGATACAAAGATGATATTCTAAGAACCTGGATCCCGTAAACACGTTGAAAAGGCCATTTTCCGTGATACTTGATTGGTTTATCCCCATGTTTCTCCCTTTGTTCTTCTCTAGCAATCATACAGTGGTACTGACAATCAGCACGACAATCCCACTGCTTCCATTTCTGATAGAGCGGTTCTTGTAAATACCACGGCCCATCAATTGGTTTCCCATCGGATGAGAATTTACAGTGTTGGAAACAAATTTTCCCCACGCACCCACTTATCTCACACTCCTCCAAACAAGCCCTAATAAATGAACAACCGCGAAAATCAACAAGTAAATAAAAGCGGCATAGGAATCATAAATCAAGTTAAATTTCCCGGAAAAAAAAGATAAGGTCATTAAACTAACCAATAATAGAATTATTCCAAATATAGACAAATTCCAAACAGCATAAAAAAATTAAAAAAAAACTACAATTATGGGTTCTTCTAACAAGAATATTCTTCTTTCAAGTTGGCTATTCAATTAATTTTCATCCAGTTTTCCTTAAAAAAAACAGAGAGAATTGGAATCTATATAACTGGAGCTGCAAATCAAGATAAGTGAATCGAGTAAACTTACTTGTAAATCGGATCGGCATCACCTTCACTGGCGTGAAGTGAAGAAACGAGAAATGAAAGGGCTAAAAAGAGCATAATTGAACGGCGGAGAGCCATTTGATTCATAGGCCAAAAGGAAAAGTGAACAGAGAAACCAACAATGATTCGACTTTTTTTTCTTCCTTTTCTTTAAATTTTTCTACAGAATAAACGATTGATGATGGAGGTTCCAGAGATGACGTGGTGGATTCCGTCCCATGGAATAAAAAAGATAATGATATAAATGTAGAGAGAGAGAGAGTAGATGAGTTTTGAGTTGAAGAACCGAGTTGAGCTGGAACAACGAACTCAGTGGAGAAATAAAGATGAGCCACTGAGTTACGGATTTTTACTTTTATGTTTGTGTTTATCGAGAATCGTGAGCTTGAACGTGAAGTGCGGGAGGCCTGAGACCAAAATCTCGTGAGGAGCTGACCTCATAAACGACCCATCGTCTGACACGTAGACCATATGAAGATCGGATTTTACCAAAATGACATCAGGTGTCATCTAAGCCAGTAAGGCTTTGACAATTTTCATACGCTGGCGTTTCTTTGCTGTCTTCCCAAAGGCTAAAGCAGCTGCTTGCTTTCCACGTGGCTGAACGGTTTGCAAGTGGATGTTTAAAACAAACATACTTTATTCTCGGGTAAACTACAGTGGTAATCATTTTTGTTACATTTTCTTCTGATTTTGGAAACTCAGCTTTCAATTGTTATATTTAGATCATTTATATTATCGATCAATTATATATTGATCACTAAATGCTATTTCCTGTTACATCGATGATGAAATACGTTAATAAAAAATTGAGTAATATTCCCTTGAAACTGTGAGGAACTATGTTGATTTTCAAAACCGACGACATTGGCAATCCAAGGAACTTGATGGTTGAGCTTGTTATTCGTGGAATATATAATGTTTCGTTGTCAAAACTAACTGAAAGTTCGTTGCTATCGGTGACCTTTCAGCCGGTTCCGATTTCAGTCCCTGTTCCTCCTTCGGCATTGTACTCGAAGTCGGGTTACCAGGAAATCCTGAGCTTGCAAGCTCCCAGGGTCTTGAAGCTAACGCTGTAGACATTATGGGCCTTTGGCAGCCTGGTGGAAACAGCTTCGCCTTTGTTCGGTGCAAAAGAAGAGAGGGCGATCGGAGAGTACTTGGTGTTCTAGCAGGTAGTGTCAGAATCTCATGTTTCACAATAAGGAAAAGACATGCTCTAATTATGATTCTATCACTTCATTTTGTGGAAATTGAGAAATTAGTACCTAATAGGGTTGCACATAATTCGGATTTCAATCCGATCCGGTTTTTTCCCATAGAAAAAAAACCGGTTTATAAAATAACCGGTTCGGTTTCTAACTGGTTTGGAGGGCCGGATATCCTAACCGGTGTAACCGGTTTCAGTTTTAAAAAAACCGGTTTTTTAAAAAACCGGTTATAAAAAAACCGATTTTAATATTCCAGATTGCTCATAGGGAACCGATTCCCCCCCAAGGGGGTACCGATTCCTCACTGAATGGTTTGGCTCCGAGATTTCCAGAATGCTCGGAGGGAACCGATTCCCCCATAGGGGTACCGATTCCCCCCTATTCAACGGTCGAAATATTTGAATTTTACACTTAGGGAACCGATTCCCTATGAGAGGGTACCGATTCCCCCACGCTCTAAGCATTTTTATTAAATGTTTTCACACTTAAACGGCTATATTATCTTCATTAATTATCACTAACGTTCAGAAGTGATTCAAGGTGTATTTAAGCAAGCTTAGAAGTCATTGATCAAAGACAAGAAACATCAAGCAACTAGAATCAAGAGAGAATCAAAGAGAAAGCATCAAACCTCAAGTTCGATAAATTCAAATACTTAATTGAAATACTTAATTAACTCAACATAATTGAAATACTTAAATACTTCCAAGTTTGATAAATTCAAATACTTAAAAACTTCCAAGTTCGATAAATTCAAATACTTAAAAACTTCAAGTTCGATAATTGAAACAAAGTTTACGATAATTGAAATAAAGTTATAAAATAAACTACATTGCCATCTCTTCTTCATCATCTTCGCCTTCTTCGTTTGGAGGGGATATTCCAAGTTCGACTTCTTCAATGTGTAAGTTTGCTTCCAAATTGGCATCAATTGCATCTTCTAGGGTGATGATATTCGAGTGTGTTCGATCACTCTCACGACTTCAAGGTTTCCCCCGACGGAAGATTCAGCAGTGTTACTCATGATGAATAAAAAATTACAAAACTAAGATTTGAGAGATGTTTAAGTGTTGTGTAATAAGATTTGAGAAAGTTGTAATCAACCAAATACATCCCCAACCTATTTATACATGTTTAGGATGGTAAAATAGTAATTTTTTAAAGAAAAAAGGTCAAAAACGGTCACAAACGGCTATATTAACGGCTAATTTTTTAAACCCAGACCGGTTTTTTTTTTCGGATAAAAACCGGTTTTTTAACCGGTTTTTTTCAAACCGGTTTTTTATCCGGTTAAAAAACCGGTCTGGGTTTTTTTCTCCAAACCGGTTAAAATAACCGGTTTAAAAAAATCCGATCCGGTTAAAAAAAACCGGTTTTTCCCAAAACCGGTTTCGGATATTTTTTTCGGATATTCGGATTTTTTGTGCACCCCTAGTACCTAATGATAAAATTTACAACTTCGAGTACCAGAGTGATAAAAGTGGATAATTTTTAGGGTCAAATATGTGCTTAAACATGAACAGAGGAAGCTGATACATAATATTACACATTTACTGTTTAAACAATCCAAAATCGGAAACCTGGAAAAATTTTGTAGCGTTCCTTTATACAACGAATCAAAGTCCCTGCAACCACCAACTCGATACTCTATGTCTCTACCTACTTGTATCTACCGGTTAAAATGCTAAAGCCAGCAATCCGATAACACCGGGCTACCGAGCCGGTGCTATGCACGGGGATGTGGAAATATGGACTCGAAACGCCACCTAAGAATAAGAATCAGTAATAAAACACGTCCACGTAGAAAATGCAGTTTTATGCAAATGTCGATGGAGAATGTTTGACCCTCCATTGGAACTATTTCAACTCGCACCGACAGCTCAACAGACGAGAGATGACTTGAGGGATGTGGCCGTTGGGAGATTCGTGCACGATGCCCATCGGATGACAGATTCAGACACCATGAAATCGAGTTGTTCTTTCTCGCCATGACCGATGGTGCGGTTCCTCTTGCTGTGGAAGGCCGACAACCTAGACCCGCTCGTTCCTCCTGTCCTTCCGAATTCAGCTGCCTTGATCTCCTTTTCACTTGCCTCGGGCCCACAGCAAAGCGAAGAATCTGGTAACATAAGCAGCTTATCCAATCCTGCATTCGTGTGATGACGCAAGACATAATTTCAGTACGAGAACAACAAATCATAAAGATTTGTAACATGGTTTAGCACAAATTACCTCCATCTAATCTCTCCATCTGAATAATGTTGGCCGACAAATCAGATTTGCATCTCTCTTGTTCAACCCTGGAACTAGGGCTGAAGAATGCAAAGCTCGGCATAGACGGAATGGCAGAATGGAATTCTAAGGTATCAGAATTGCTGCTGCGGAAAGAAAATCCACCCGATGCGAAGCAAGGTGTAGATGGCTCCACAAAGGAAGAAGAAAATAACGTTCTGCAGGTTAGCGTGGGTGACTGAACATCATAAATGATTGGCGACCCAACACCAAAGCTGATATCCTGATCCCTAGACATGGAAAATGAGCCACTATGAAACTCCAACTCTCCACAACTTTGGTATATAACCTCACTTGATTCTTCTTGATAAGATTCAACACTCTTCATCCATGAATGGTCTAAAAGAAAACAATTCAACATTAAGCTTTTTGTAGACGATGGAAATTTCCAGTAACATGCAAGAAAGGAAACAATCTAAATCGACCTCTTGGCATACGTATACCAGTCATTAGAACAAACTTGAATAAATTTAAGAAAGCTGGTATTAAATAGCTACCGGGTTTGACTCTGTTGCTCATGCACAGACTTTCCTTATGCATACTTTAATAGCCACAGAATACAATGATTAAACAACTATTCTAATGTCTCTGCATGCACCGATAAATTTATAACGAGTGTTGGAAGGGATTCCAATGTACCTAAAACCTGCAGTGCAGTGAGCCTTTGTGAAGGATCTGTATTGAGCATTCCCCTGACTAAATTCTTTGCAGAACCATAAATCCCATCCCAAGGATCTGATGGGAACTGCAAATCAGCTGCCCTCACAGCATCAAATATCCGTGATTTTGTTTTACCCCAAAATGGCGGTGTCCCACTAAGAAGAATGTACAAAATCACCCCAGCACTCCAAATATCAGCAGTCTGGTTATATCCCCCAACCAAAACCTCAGGTGCAATGTAAAATGGACTCCCAACCGTCCCATGCAAACACTGCCCTGTTGGCAACAAATACCAAAATTGTTCAAAACATAGAAGTCTCAAAAATTTCGAGGAAGCAAACAAGCTCTGTGTGAAAAATGTTCTTGGTTAGAGAAGGGAAAAGAATAAATGTAAAACTCTACCAGGCTCGATATATGTTGCAAGACCAAAATCTGCTAGTTTGATTGGTGATGATGAGGCTTTTGTAGCTAAGAGGATATTCTCTGGCTTCAGATCTCTATGCACAATCCCAATTTCAAGACAATATAGGACCACTTGCATTAGATGCCTAAAGAGAACTCTAGCATCTGCCTCGGGAAAACGGCCATACCTCTCAAGCCGGTGAAAAAGCTCCCCGCCTGCACAAAGCTCCATAACCAAATGAACATAGTCTTCATCCTCATAAACAGCCTTGAGATCTACAACATTAGGATGCCCTGATAACCTAGTCATTATTTCGATTTCAAGCTTGACACTCCGTGCATCATCAGAGGTTACCAATCTATCTTTAGATATGGACTTGCATGCCAACACCTCTTTCGTCAACTTATCCGAGCACAAGCTAATAACACCGAATTGACCCCAGCCCAGTTGCTCTCCAAAAATGTATCGATCTCTCAAATTTACAGTTTGGTCAGTTTCCAATATCGTTTCACTCAAGCTTGCAACTTTGTAGCAATTACACGGCTTCTTTGACGTTTCATTGAAGCTGCTGCTCTGGGCAACAGCCATAACACTTTCCAGACGTTAAACTAATCAAAAAGTGATTCAGGATGTAAGCTTAATTCCCCTAGGTTTTAGGGCAGCTTGCAACAACTTAGTCTCCCAAAGAAACAAGCTAGTCAAATTTTAATTGTCAAAACTTTGATTTATACATTTTCATGTTCACAGAACTCTTACCAAATCCATACTTGAGATCAAGACTCCTAAAACATAAGACTTTCATGGGTAGTTGTTGAACTTTGACAGCTAAACTTGCATCGAATAACACAGTGCCAGAAATCATGACAAGACTATATTATCAACCCCAAAAAATCATAATCTTAAATGCACACCTGAGAACTCATCTTAGTTCTCTTGGATTTCCTGGATCTGTAAAAGAATTTGCAATTATCATATTACAATTAAGCACTTTAACTCAGCTCCAAAAGAAGCATTCCTGCGAACTTTAATGGAAACTACAATACCATGAGAGTCCAATTTAAGAAAAAAACCTATGATAAAGCACATCACTATATTTTATTAGCTCAACAAACTTTAATCCAAGCTCAAAGAAGAAAACGATTCACATTCTAACATAAAATAAGAAAAATAACATAAAAAGCTTTATCACACCAAAACCTCAACAATCCAGACGATCACCCATTGAAAACCCTAATCACATTAAAAAAGCCCTTTGTCGCCCAATCAGCTCAAAACCTCAAAAGCAACCACAACCCATTACCTAAAAAGTCATCCAAATCACAAAAGAAAAGAAAAATTCAACAAAAACCCATAAAAAATCCAACTTGAAACAGAGCATTCCCAGATCCAAAATTGTTCATTTCCACGAATAGAGGGGAAAAAACCCAGTTTTGAAATTCAACCATCGACCCTAAAACACTACAAAAACTATATATATAGAGAGAGATACAAACCTGGCAAGAGATAAACAGATAGAGATAGAGCATCACAGAAGCAACACAGAAGAAGAAGAAGAAGAAGAAGAAGAAGAAGAAGAAGAAGAAGAAGAAGAAGAAGAAGAAGAGGAAGAAGAAGAAGAAGAAGAGGAAGAAGAGAGGAAGAAGAAGAAGAAGAGGAAGAAGAGGAAGAAGAAGAGGAAGAAGAGGAAGAAGAAGAGGAAGAAGAGAAGAGGAAGAAGAGAAGAAAGAAGAAGAGAAGAAGAAGGAAGAAGAGAAGAAGAAGAGGAAGAAGAGAAAAGAAGAAGAAGAAGAGAAGAAAAGAGGAAGAAGAGGAAGAAGAAGAAGAGGAAGAAGAAGAGAAGAAGAGAAGAAGAAAAGAAAGAAGAAGAAGAGAGAAAAGAAGAAGAAGAAGAAGAAGAAGAAGAAGAAGAAGAAGAAGAAAGAAGAAGAAGAAGAAGAAGAAGAAGAAGAAGAAGAAGAAGAAGAAGAAGAAGAAGAAGAAGAAGAAGAAGAAGAAGAAGAAGAAGAAGAAGAAGAAGAAGAAGTCCGTTGGAGCAGTGATAGACAGCTCTTCCGAAGGCAGACCTGTCTCTCTGTCTCTGTGCGCTCTTCTTTTTGAGTCTCTCTTTTGTATAAGTTTTGTTTTTACAGAAATTTATTTAAAGGGGACTGGAGGGGCTTTTTGAGTCTATCATGTGAAAATTCAGGTCGAGTGGAGATTCTTTCATATAATTGATGGAGAAGTGTTATATTTGATCAAATTTGGATGGATCAAAATTTCTACTACCTGTAATTATTCATACTATTAAGCGTAATTACGAGATATAATAATGTTATTAATAACGATAAACAATTAATTATATTCTTTTTAGTCACATGAAATGTTTGAGTTATAATAAATAAAGCTTATCAATGTCTCATCATTGTTATATATATTTTTATATTAATATTGATATTATTTATCTTAACTTACTAATATTAATATTAGTTTATGGGTTATGATCTACTTATTTTACACAGATTTAAGATCGTCAAATGAGTGGAAATAGATGGCTGAGATTTACTCTTTGTTTTTTTTTTTCAGTGAATATCGTCTCATTTTCTACTGTTAATCTCAATCATTTATTGTCACTCATTCAATAAAAGAGTTTTACATTATGTAACAAGATACTATCGCTTTTTTTATATTTATTATTATTTTTAAATTATTTAAGTATGAACTTATCAAATAATTTTAATGATTAAAATGAATATTATTCTCCTTAAAGATAGCGTTATTAATAGTTAATTTTTTAAAAATAAATATTATGTTATAATCATATCAAATTATTCAAAAAAAATTATTTAATTATGTTTTTGAATCATTTCCTTGTATATTAGTATTTTTTTTAATAAAAGTCCCTATTCTTATTAAAAAGTAAAAATATTCAAAATTATAATAGGAGTTGACAATTAGGGATGGTAAAAAAATCCGAACCCGACGGAAAAAATCAAAAACCGAATTAAACGGGTCGGGTTCGGGGATGATAAACGGGGAAACGGGAAAAAATCGTTTATGCTAAACGGGAATGGGGACAGGGACATGGACGGGTTTGGTAATCCCCGCCCCGATACCAGCCCAGATAAATATTAAAAATAATTATTATATATATATATAATATTAATAAATTTAATTTAAATTAAAAATATATATATAATATTTATATATTTAATTTAAATATATATACCCGGTCCAATACCCGACTCGATACCCGTTTAAATAACCGTTTATGCTAAACGGGGATACCTGTTTCCCCGCGGCTTTTCTCGATTACCCGATGGGGATCACTGTTTAAATTCCCACGATTTTTTAAGCAGGGATGGGTACGAGTTTTTTAAACGGAGACAGGGGGACCAATACCCGACCCGAACCCGACCCGTTGCTACCCCTATTGACAACTATTATTGTAAACTAAATACATAAGATAAGGTTGAAAACACAACCAAAATACTCGTACAACAAATAGATAAGAAAAAATTATGAATGTATCGGTAAACGAACTAAAAAAATTAAGTTATTGAAAGACTGTTGATAACTGCAAATCAGAACCAAGTGTTATGAGTAACTATCCACAAACGCAAAATCAAGTATCCAAAATCAATTCGAGGGTTCATAGCAGGGAAGATCAACAATATTACAAATAAGAGATATATTGGTCAATTGTGGCGTCACCAAATTCAACCTTACGAAAACATAAGATAAAAAGAATAGACAAACTATCGAGAAAAAAAAAAGACTACAAATATGACATAAAGACAGAGAAAAATATATTACGAAGATATAATTATTTTTATTAAAAAATTAAAAAAAAAGATAATCGATAGTCGACAATAATATCAAAATTGATGTTGTCATCGATTAAACAAAATATAAATATTTTTTTTGATACAATCTATAAAAGCCGACACAAACTCTAAATAAAAAAAAGGGTGAGAGTGGCTAAGGTTTTTGTTATAAATGGCTAGGGTATTTCCTTGTATGTTACTATTTCATCAATTAATGATTAATTGGTATTCTAAGACAACTTTAATAGAATTGACGTATTTTTATATGGACTATCCTTTTAATATTGTAATTTTATTATATAATTAAAAAAATCCGAAATAAACATCTCCTATACAATTTGACCGGACCAAAATTATCCACCTTAGAGGGGGAAAGGAACAAAGGTTTCCGCCGCCAAATCCTATCCTGCTCATTTTTGAAATTTTATTCCGATTTAATAAGTTTGATTTAATTTAATTTTATATTTAACCGATTTAAAAAATTATAATGATTTTTATATATTTATAAATAATTATTTTAATATTTATTTATTATGTTTTATTTTATTTAATAAAAATATATATATATATATATATATATATATATATATATATATATATATATATTTGTATAAGATCGGATGCAAGTATTTATATTAAAAATTATGTGAAAATTCAAATCGAGACAGATAATTTATGAAAGAGTATCATACTTGAATCAAAATTTGGATATATAAAAAATTTACTACTTGCAATTATTCCTACTATTAAGTTTAATTACGAGATATAATAATGCCAGGGATAAGATTTTGTTACATAATGCAAAACTCATTTAGCTTTATACAGATTTAGGACCGTTGGATGAGTAAAAATAGATGACTGAGATTAATAGTATGAAATGAGAAGATATTCGCTGAAAAAATTGAGTCAATTTTAGCCATCTATTTTCATTTATCCAACGGTCCTAAATCTGTGTAAAATTAAAGAGTTTTACATTATATAAGTAGATCCTAACATATATATATATATGTGTGTGTGTGACACTTAATAATTTATTTAATTTTTTTAACATTTATTAATAAAATAATAACATATGTTCCCCTTTTATTAAAGGATAAAATTTATTGAATTATTTATAATTAAAATGATGATCAAATTAAAATAATTTATAAATATTAAAAGTTGAATTTATTGAATTATAACTAAATTGATAAAATATATAGATTTTAAAAGTAAAAATATTACTATATTAGATCGTATTACCATCTTCGTTAAAACTTAACAGTACAAAATCAAAATGAAATAAAAATATATTCTTAATAATCAAAATGTCAACAAAAAGAATCAAGTGATTAGAATAGAAACACGATAATGTACGAGGAAGAAAGAAAAAATCGAAGTGAATAAGAGGGTGAACTAAGGAGAGGCCTTCGAAGCTTACAATCAGTTAGAATTATTATTCAAAATTTTGAGATAAAAAACAATTTAACCATTTTTAATCATAATTTGAGAAAAGAAAACAAACGTTTATTTAAATATCATTTAGAGTTAATGTAAAACAAAAACAAAAAAGATACGTTCATTATGATAATCGAAGACGGGACCAAAACGAAAACGATCAAAGCCTTAGATAAGGTCAAACCCTTTTAGTAGTCCCTATACTAAGTGAAAGATGTGGACTTAGTCCCTATATTTTTCTAATTTAGTCATTTTGAGTCCTTGTGCTCTTCAAATTTTGAAATTTCAATCCCGACTCAAACAATAATTGTTAAATATACTAGGTCAAATTCTACTCTTAGTTCTTGTTGTTGAAAGACAAAT